GCTATCCACGGGTCTGCCAGCACTGGCCCCGCCCCCTTGGTGACATAATCAGAATTGCTGATTTTTAGCCATGAGGAAAGCATATGATCAGCTAACATTGGAAAGGGGGCGGGCCAAATTACATTTTGGCCAATCAGCACCTCCTCGTAGAGATGCATTGATTCAATGCATCTCTATGAGGAAAATTCAGCGTCTCCATGCAGAGTGTGGGGACGCTGAAGGGCAGGGTTGCCTACTGTTCATCCCTGAGCCAGGAAGCCCCTCTAGTGGCCATGTGAGGAGGAGTCCCTAGGGGCAATGTAAACACTGCCTTTGCTCTGAAAAGGCAGTGTTTGCATGAAAATGCCTGAAGGGAGCTATTATACTCACCAAAACAACTACATTAAGCTGTAGTTGTTCTGGTGACTATAGTGTCCCTTTAGGTTTCCCTTCTCTGTTGAGTGCAAGAAGCAGGTACTGGCAGGGGTACAACATGTAGTATGTCCTCCACGTGATACTGACCATTTTTACATGTACAAAATCATGTAGTGTGAAGTATGTTCTCCAAGGGGGAGTTGGAATTTTATAGTAAAGGATTTCTTCCATGTTAAAAATGAGAGGATTTCCTATATCGATTACTCTAAATGTGATAAAATTAGCAATATTCAATGAAAAACGAATGTAACCAGTGTTGGTCTAGTTCAGGGGTCAGCAACCTATGACACGTGTGCCATGCATGGCACTTGATGTGCCTTTGTACGGCACTCAAAGCTGCCAAAGCTAAACAGTCTCTGGTCAGTCAGGAATCCCAGTGGGACTTCAGATATCTACTAATGCAACCCGAGCAGGTGGTGAGGAACAATCCTCAATTTACGCATTGCAGCACTTAGAGGACATGTTCTCAGATCACTTCTTCCCAACACTTGTAAAAGGAAATCTGCACTGGAGTAGAGCAGCCCACAGCAGCTATTGCAACTCCCCACTGGACCTCAGTGAATCCACACACACTTCTAGATATAAACAGAGCGGCAGAAGAATCCTTCTCCTGATACAAATAATACAAACGGCCCACACAGAAACACACACAACTTTTAGAAACGCAACATTACTGACAATCCACATACATACACACAACTCCACAAGCAGCTTCTCACATGCAATACCGTAGCAGCCCCACAAATACACACACCACCAAACACACAATGTGACATCATCCAGACACACAATTCCACAAGTAGCCCCCATACACAGCCCACATTCATAGGCATCATATGCAATACCACAAACTACTCATGAACATATACAAAATAACAGCCCAAAATACAACGTTACAAACCAACAGCAGCACACATAACTAACACAAGCACAATACAGCAACATACACACCTCAATTTGAAAAAAATAGGACCGGCATGCCAAGGGAGTTTAAGATCTTGTTTTTGCACAGTGCTGCTGAAAGGTTGCCTACCCCTGGTCTAGTTCATACTTTGCCTCCCACTGACATGAGTCCATACTTCTCACGTTCCTGAATGCTTTATACAATCCGATTTACAAAAAAAGTCAGCGGAACAAGCTTGCTTAGTGAAGAACATTTAAAGTCCTCCAAAAAAAAAGTATTTAAAATGGTAACTATATCTGACCGCATCAATGGGAGTGTGGTAAGGCTGTATATTTGTGCTGATAAGTATCTTAACCAGCAGTCAGAATTAGATGCTTCTTATATTTCATACGTGTATGTTTGATCCTGCTGTGATAACAATTTCCAGTCGCTCATATATGATTTTATATCAGCATACACCACATTGTGTTCCTTGTATGAAACCATACAATCAGGTGGAATCATCAGTGGGAGATGGAAAATACACACGTGTGTGAAATTGAATGAATATTAAAGGAAATATATAATTTTAGAAATCTTGGAGCTATAAAAAGAAACAACAAACTAAACACTGTCAGGGGTGTACACTGCGTTATAAATTCAGCTATATTTTATGTTTGTCTATTATGGCCTGGAATTTGAAAGTCACTTTGATTCGTGGCAGTTCTTAGATCAGTGAATAACAAAGTCAGTATATATTGAATGTTAATAGCTGTTTCTCACATCAAGCATATCAGCCATTACGTTCCACATTATAAATTACTTGCTTTGTGCCTCATCTGTGACACTGAGGACTTCTCTAGAGTCTATTGTTTTTGAATGCTTATAGTTAATTTCCCTTAAATATACAGACATTTAAACAGTAAAAATGTTAAAACATAACCATCACAATCTGTTGGTCCTTAAGGCCTAAATTTTTTGCCTTAGCTACTTGCATGGTTTGATTAATAACTTTGATAGCAGTATGAAATATTTTAATTCTTTGAATATTAAGATTAAAAAAACTAGTTTATTAATGCTTTGCCCAATTTTTGTTTTCAGTGAGAATATTACTCGGTCAGATTACTGTGCTGTCGTATCAAATTATTACTATCAGGAAGAGTTCAGTATAGTGGGTACAAGTCCCTTTAACTAATTAGATTTAGGGAATTCTCTGATTACCAAACGGGCTGTGAAAAGTGGAGTTTAGTGCAAGGTATAAAATAATGTTCAAAGTTTACTATTGGCCCTTTAGATGACAGAAAACAAATTTCACATCTGGTGAGAGATAATACGAAGATTAGACCAAGGTTGTGCAGTTAGATCCCTCGCCATCAGAAGATTACTATGGAAAGGACTGTAACTTGTAGACATGCAAGGCCATACTATAAATTTCAGTTTATTGTTTAAGAACTCTGCCGATCATTGTTATTGATTGCACCCAAGCCCGAATGATTTACAGCTATGTCCTTGTTTGGCCACAGAGAGTGCAAAATACTGAGAAGCAAGGAGAAAATGTGTTACAGCTGATATGCTTATAGCACATGCCAATTTTCATTCAAAGGACTCCAGCTCAAGCATCTGCAACCAAGCTTCTACAGAGACTAAAGGGAACAGGACAGGAGCCATGTATAGGCAGGGACAAGTAGAAGTCAGTACATATATAGTTGCATTGCAGGTTTACTAGCACCCAGAGCTGTAGTTGGGAGCTCTCTGGTAGATGAGGAATTATATAGTAGAAAAAGTATCTTGTAACGCATGTTTCTCTGGATAAGATGGGGACAATCTTAGGAGTCATCAAAGGAACCTTAAAATGGCAAGAAAGACCACGTTCTAGTGTTAATAAACAGACGCTGTCCATTACTGTTTTAATACCAAAGTCCATAATAGTTACAAAACCATATATAACCACACCTATTGCTAGGACAATGTATGCCAAAATGGTAAGATCCCTCAAAGCATGTTTTTATAAGATTCTCAATAAATAATGGTAATTGTCCTCACAGAAGCCAAATAGTTTATTAACCAAGGGGTGATATGTTAATAGTTGGGTGGGGTTATACATGCAGCAAATGCAAAGTCAGAGTATTGTATTTCACACATGACATCTAAGAAACAATATACAGCTGTGATTGAGAATCATGGTAAGGGCCAATGGGAAATGTAAGTAAAACATCTGGAGTGCCAAAGATTGCTTCCCAGAATGATAGTCCACCACGGGGACCACAAGCAGGGGCTTAATGTACTCGAAGGGTAGTGCCATCACTAGCCTAGTGAGTAATGGTCCCCAAACTCATGGCCTAATACATATAGTGAAGAAAATATAATAAAGGTTAAATACATTCCCATTCTTACCGTCAAAAAGAAAGCTTGGATTGTATTTTGCTGATTTTTTTTTTCCACTCTGACAATATGGTCATGGTCTGCGCTATTAATACACATTGGCATGACATGTCGGTACGGTATGCTATAAATATCTTGCTAGCATGCTGTTTAAAAAAGATGCTTAGGCATTTGATTTTGCAATGTCTAGATTATAACACATAGATGAGATAGCCACATGTCCCCAGAGTTCAAAATGAGGTCACTGATGCTTGGTTGTATTTCCAACATGAGGTCTGCAGAGCAGTAGATTTGATCAACTGCACTCAGTCACCTGGGAAGCGTATGACCAGGTTTGACTGCATGGTATTCATTGGATGTTCTTACTTAGAAACAGCACTTGGAAGTAGCACCAAGCTATATTAGACAAGCTAATGAGACCAAGCCTTATATAACTCCTTAAATCACCGCCCACTAGGAATGTTTAACACCTGGGTAGGCCAGAACAAGTGATTCTGCAAATCATCATTGAATATCACCTACCAAGAGATTGTTAAAGACCTCCTCCCCCCTTCATGGCAATGGTTTTCCCTGATGACAGTGGCCTTTTTTAGTTGGATAATTTACACTGCAAAAATTGTTCAGGAATGGTTTGAGGAATATGGTAAAGAGTTCAAGGTGTTACTACATTATCCTCCAAATTCCCCAGATCTCAATTTGCTTGAGTATCTGTGGGATGTGTTGGAACAACAAATCCAATCCAATCCACCTCGTAACTTGCAGAACTTAAAGGATCTGCTGCTAATATCTTGGTGCTTAATACAACAGGACATGTTCAGAGGTCTTGTGGAGTCCATGCCTTGATACATCACAGCTGTTTTTGACCTACACGATATTAGGCAGATGGCTTTAAAGTTGTTTGTAATACGCAGCCATGTTACAGTGCACTATAGGGGTCCTTTAACGTTCCAGGTGAGCTTATACTTTGATGGCCATTAGAGTGATATTAAAAAAAACTTCAGTTAGGGCGTGGCCTGGAGCTCGACTGACATGGACGCACGCATGTGAAGCTCCTGTCAACCAGAGGATCAAAAGCAAAAATAATCAGACTACAGAGCGATAAACAAGACACCCACGGTCCCACGATGTCGCACAGACACAAACAGAAAGCTGCCAAAGCAGAACGGGAATCCTTCTTCTTGGCAAGGTCAGCAAGAAAAAAAACGAGGGAAACTAACAGCCCTAACAAAAATGGCGGCGGGAACCGCTCCCTCGAGGGATCCCTCTCGCCGCGGCATCAGTCAGCTCACTGGCAGAGGATCAACCTCTCACCACCACCTCCATGAAGCTTATGCTATCAGACCTGGCAGACAACTTCCAAACCACTATGAAAAAACAAGTACAAGGCCTGGCAGTAGAACTGAGAAAAGACATAGCTGAAATAGGGCAGTGCACAACCCACGTGGAACAGAGGCTGAATGAGTGCGCAGATGCCCACAACGGCCTCACCGAAAAAGTGCAGGAATATGAAATTACCATGCACTCTCTCAAAACGAAAATAGCAGACCTCGAGGACCGGTCACGGAGAAACAATATCCGGATTAGAGGCATACTCGAAACTGTACTTCCAACAGGCCTCAACGACTACCTCCAAGACATGTTCCAGGCACTCACCCCGGCTATACACCCAGACCAGCTCGTTGTAGATAGGGTGCACCGCCTCAGACGACCACAACACCTCCCGGCAACGGCAGAGAGAGATGTCATAGCTCGCATCCATTTCTTCCATGCCAAAGAACTGATAATGAAAGCGAGCAGAACAGCAGAAATGCCGGACCCGTATGGAAATCTATCAGCAGAAACCCTACAATACAGGAAGAACTTAGCACAGATCACCACCACTCTCTGAGAAAAGAAGATCGCCTACAGATGGGGATACCAGGCTAAACTACACATCCACTATGAAAGGAAGATGCACGCGATATCCAAACTAGACATGGGACTCGCTAAACTCAATGAGGGCATCCAAGTCCGAGACGAGGCGCTTAAAAAACCTGCAAAAGTCCCCAGGATGGCAAAGGACTGGGCAACCACCTGATAGATAGCCACCTAATACTACTCCAAACGGAGACAGACCATTGGTATCCTCTTAGGCATACCGCTAGACAATTGAATCACCAGGAATGTAAGTTTATTCCATCACCTGTTTGCTGAATGTTCTTCCCTATGGTTATATATATATAACCTATGTTATTCATAAAGTGCTTCAAATGTAAATAGTACTATGATGTAAAGAGGGGACACACAACGTGCTGAGCCAGACACACGCAGGTTAATACAAAGGACACAACATAACGCTAGGCCCAGCGAGTATACCCACCACCTCAGCGTCAGAACACTTTACCCCACCGGACTATTGCCTGTCTCACCCCTTACTATATGTGACCGGGACTCCCCCGGCGCATCTAAACTCCCCATGGAGGAGTTTTTAAGGGCACATGGCCCACTTGTTCGTTATTACCCTCCCACTGTTTCCCCACCCTATGTTACCCCCTACCCTGGGGAATACCACAGCACCAAAATATACTATGCAACCCTCCACAATCTCTCCTACCCAGGGATCGAAACACGGACCCCCCTGAAAGGACAAGCGACAACAGCTCTAGAGACCAACTGAAGTACCACCATAAAAATAGTTTCCCATAACGTTAAAGGTCTAAATACCCCAGGTAAACGCAGGCTTCTACTTAAGGACCTCACCAAGCAGATGGTAGATATTGCATGTATCCAAGAAGCACAGTTTCGTAATGATCATACCCCAGCCATATTTACGAAAACATACCCTGTCCAATTCCATACTCTTGCCAGTACGAAATCTAAAGGTGTGTCAATCCTCATCCACAAAGAAATAGCAGTTACAATCCAACAACAGTACATAGACCCGAGGGGTAGATACATTATCTTAGTGGGCCAATTTAATACAACTCACACTGATGGCCGCATATTTTCCTAACGAAGCGCAGGGGCAATACTTACAGATGTTACTTCACAAACACAACAAAATCAAACAAGGGGAAGTGATAATGTGCAGAGACTTTAACTGTATACAGTCACCCGTGCTGGACACCACAGCCAATCTTACAGGTAATAGCAGGAAAAAGTTGATCTCCACCAGCAAATCCTTCACTAAACTAATTGACCACTACGATTTCTATGACGCTTGGAGGACACTCCACCCGATCGACAGAGACTACTCCTTCCACTGAAGGGCCCATAACACATACACGTGCATAGATACGTTCTTTCTAGATAGAGCTCTACTAGCACGACTGAATAGATGTACAATAGGGGACATAACGTGGTCAGTTCACGGTCCAGTATACCTGGAAATAAACGATGCGTACCAATTTAAAGGGAGGGGTACATGGCGACTAAATGATTCACTACTTCTAAACGACCCATTCGCACAAGAGATTAGAGATGCCCTACAGGCATACTTCACCACCAATGCAGGAGGGTAGGCTTCAGATGACATAGTATGGTCTGTACACAAAGCAGTGGTAAGAGGGCTATTCCTTAGAAGAGCCTCCTATCTGAAAAAACACCACCAAAACAACCTCCTTGATTGCCACAAGCAAATAGCCTTAGTCTCCAAACAAAACAAAAAACAACCTACACCACTGCTAGCATCACAACTACAAAAGTTGCACACAAAACTGACCGAACTGAACGCAGAGAAAACAAAAACCTTACTATATAAACTTAAAGCTAATGTTTACCACAATAGTGGCAAAGCCAGTAAACACCTAGCTAACAGACTCATGGCCAAATACGCCAGCACCAAAATCGCACGCATCACAGGGGTGGACGGCAACCAATACCAAACCTCCGCAGACATGAGCAGGGAATTTACGAAATTCTACTCTAAACTATACAACCTCAAAGAGGCAGGCAACATACATATAGCAAAACATGACGAAATAGATGAATACTTGAGACGAACCAACCTCCCCCAGGTCAAAATAGCAGACCTACTCAAACCAGGAGCAGACCTACTCAAGCCATGACCTACTCAAGCCAGGAGCAGAGGGCCTTACCAATGCTTACTACAAAATATTTGCAAATGAACTAGCCCCACACCTCCTACAGGTATACCACTCAGCTACAAACTCGGGGAAACTACCGCCAGAGATGCTATTGGCCACAATAATAACCCTAACAAAGCCAGGTAAAGCCCCAGATAAATGCCAAAACTACCGCCCCATATCACTGCTGAATACAGATACAAAAATATACGCAAAGATCCTAGCCAACAGAATTAGTGACATACTGCCAGACCTCATAGGAGACGACCAAACGGGGTTTGTGACAGGCAGACAGGGTTTAGACAATACACGGAAACTCACACTATTACTAGAGGGCCTACGGAAAAATAGACAAGGAGGATTGCTCCAATCGGGTTTCAACTCAAACCCCTACACAATATCCAACGGACGAGGCAGGGCTGCCCGCTTTCCCCTTTCCTATATGTACTGGCCCTAGAGCCCCTACTGCAAGCTATATACGAGGTATTAACGTAAAAGGTAATGAATACAAAATCAGCACATTCGCAGATGATATACTTCTCTACATAACACAGCCCCTAGACACTCTACCACACATCATGCAGGAGATACAAACATATGGCAAACTATCCTATTACTCTCTTAATACCACGAAAACACAAGCCATGGGGATCGACCTACCAACAATACTAACCCAGAAGCTTAGCACTACATATAACTTTGAATGGAGGAAGGACCATATCACATATCTGGGGCTCCACATCACCAGACAGGCTAAAGACCTGATATCAGGGAACTACATCAGAGTGTGGCATGAGTGTAAAATGACCCTTAAAACTTGGGGACGCCTCTTCCTTACGTGGACAGAACGAATAATAGCAATAAACATGTCCATACTCCCTAAACTACAATATGTATTTAGGACACTGCCTATGAATGTTCCACTGACATACTTCAAGACTATACAGAGCGACATCAGCACATTCATAAAAAACGAGAGTGGCACAGAAACTACTAAAAGCACCATTGAAAGCTGGTGGATTAGCCGTGCCAGATGTCTGGGCCTACTACCACGCCTCTGTACTAGCATCGGCACTACCTTACTTGCTGGACCAACCCCCCCCAATGGGTGACTCTAGAAAAACATCTAATGGAACCATATGAGATCCCACACATACTGTGGCTACCCAAGCAATTTAGGCCACCATTAACGGATACCCCCACCCAAATAGCATTGCGTATGAGAGTGTGGGACATGCATAGAAGTAAATTGAGCTCAAACCCACATATCTCGCAAGCCACGCCGCTATGGGCACTAACCTACTGCATACCCACATTCCATGCAGCTCCATGGCAAGAAAAAGGCATCGCAACCTTAGCCCAAATCCACACAAGAGGGAGACTTACAGACTTTAACACACTACAAAAGACACACAACATCCCACATACCTCACACTTTTCGTACAGGCAACTATCATCCTTTCTCCACAACCAGGAAACCCAAAACCCACTGCAGACCAACCCAAGCACACCTATTTTTACACTCTGGGAAAATATATGTATTCAACGTAAACTTCCAAAGTCCTGCAAACCACTGTCCACCTGCTACAAAATGCTATTGACATACACACCGCTATCTGATGCCACACAAGCGATACAGTGGGGAAAGGAGCTGGGTACGGACCTTACCAGACAACAGTGGGAGGACTTGGTAGTTTCTCCTAGAAAACTGGTTAAATCAGCTACGCTTATGGAGCAACATATGAAGATGGTATATAGATGGTACCTAGTGCCGGCAAGGATACACAAGCTCTTCCCAGCCAGCACCCCAAACTGTTGGAGATGCACCACACAAACAGGCACTACCCTACACATCTGGTGGAACTGCCCACTTATCCAGCCCTTTTGGAGGGCCATGCAGCAAGTGCTGAAGGAAATCACATACGCTGAACCACAATATGACCCAGGCACATATCTTCTACTTAAGCTCCCAACACACCCAAGTGTATACAGAAAGTTGTCTACCACCTACTGCTCACAGGCCAACGAGTAATCGCAAGGGCATGGAAGTCCCGTCAAAGCCCTTCCATAGAAGCAGTCCTCGCAGAAATAGACAACCAAAGAATTTATGAAAAACACTACCACACTGTATGCCCACCCAACGAAACGATGCTGCCAGCATGGGAGAGATGGGAAACATGGAGACAAACCCCCCCAGAACACCACAACATTAGTTTGTCCCAACCCACGAGAGAAAAAAGAATCACCTAGGAGAAACTATATAGGCAGGGAAGAGCTGAGACACAGAGTAGCCAGCAAAGGGCCGATAGACTGGTCAAGGGACAACGCATTTCCTTAACGTAACAACAAAGGGCTGCATAGTGATATGAATTGTATATGAATCCTGTGAACTGGAACACTAATTACATGTACTTGATAAATGCTGTACCCCCATCCCCGTCTCCCCCCTTCCTTTCTGTATCCGCCCCCACCACCAACTGTTGAAGTTATATGAAGTAATGAAAACAATAAAAAATGTCAAATTAAAAAAAAAAAAAAACTTCAGTTATTTAAATGTGCATAGGGATTTGGAATAGTGTACAAGTAACTTTAGTTCTTTGGTTTTATTGTATATATTGGGGCTGATGTGTACCATAGTCATTGCTACCGCCAAGTAGTAGTAGGAGTTTGAACTTAGGACTTAATTTTGTAACTTGATTTTAATGTTGTATACTTATTCTGATGAAGCACAACATTATAACACAGAGTCCAAGTTGAAAAAAAGATTGTAAAAGAGCACATTTTTTTTAGCCTAATGTTAAAAAGCACATTTACCCATAGATTT